GGGCCAGTGTTTCACAACGGTAGGGATTCTTTGTTATGTGGTTATGAAGTGTTCCCTTTAATTCCTTGATACTTCCCTGGGCTGTTTCCAGTCCATTTTTATTGGCATATGTGGTGGGTTGACCCTGGCTTGGTGCCAGGATGCCACCAAAGCTGCTCTATCACTCCCCTTCCTCAGCTGGACAGGGGAGACAAAAAATATATAACAAAAAACTTGTGGGTTGAAATAAGGACAGGGAGAGATCATTTACCAGGTACTGTCAAAGGCAAAACAAAATTGACTTGGGGAAAAAATTAATTTGATTTATTACTAGTCAAATCACAATAGGATAATGAGAAATAAAACCAAACCTTAAAAACACCTTCCCCCCTCTCCATTCTTCTTGGGCTTAACTTTACTCCCAATTTTCTCTAACTCCTCCCCCCCAGAGCAGCACAGGGGGATGGGGAATGGGGGTTGTGGTCAGTTCATCATTCCTTCCTCTGCAGAGGAAGGACTCCTCACACTCTTCCCATACTCCAACGTGGGGTCCCTCCCATGGGAGACAGTTCTCCAGGAACTTCTTCAATGCGAGTCCTTTCCACAGGCTGCAGTTCTTCATGAACTGCTCCAACGTGGGTCCCTTCCATGGGGTGCAGCCCTTCAGGATTAGACTGCTCCAGCGTGGGTTCTCCATGGGGTCACAGTCTCCTTTAGGCACGCCCACCTGCTCTGGTGTGGGGTCCTCCGTAGGCTGCAGGTGGATATCTGCTCCACCACGGACCTCCATGGGCTGAAGGGGAACAGCCTGACTCACCATGGTCTTCACCATGGGCTGCTCCAGTGCATGGAGCACCAATCTCTGCTCCAGTGCATGGAGCACCTCCTTCCCCTCCTTCTTCACTAACTTTGGTGTCTGCATAGTTGTTTCTTTCACATATTCTGACTCCTCTCTCTGACTGCAATTGCTGTTGCACAGCAACTTTTTCCCCTTCTTAAATATCATAGAATCATAGAATGGTTTGGATCAGAAGGGACCTTATAGATCATATAATTCCGGTCCCCCTGCCCTGGGCAGGGGGCATCAACTAGATTAAGTTGCTTAAAGCCCCATCCAGCGTGGCCTTGAACACTTCCAGGGAGGGGGCACCCACAGCTTCTCTGGGCAACCTGTTTCAGTGCCTCACCACCCTCATAGTAAGGAATTTCTTCCTTGTATCTAAACTAAACCTACCCTCTTTCAGTTTAAAGCCATTACCCCTTTTCATATGCCCTTGTAGAGATTTCCTCTCCAGCTTTCTTATAGGCTCCTTCAGGTACTGAAAGGCCTTAATAAGGTCTCACTGAAGCCTTTTCTTCTCCAGGCTGAACAATACCAACTATCTCGGGCTTTTCTCGTAGGAGGGATCCTTCTGATCATTTTTGTGGCCTCCTTTGGACCCACTCCAACAGGTCCATGTCTTTCCTGTGCTGAGGGCTACAGAGCTGCAAGCAGTAAATACGTTATCACAGGAGCACTACCAGCACATCCAGTTAAAACCAAGGTAAAAATGTACCTTTACCTTTCCATATTCTTTGTCATGCAGTGAGCCTTTTGCTTCCTGATCCTGCTTTTTGGTGACACTGTTTTCACAGAACACTTCTTGTTGCCCTTTGCATCCTTTGCTAGGTTCAACCCCAGCGTGGCTTTGACTTTGCTACTCCATCCCTGCATACTCAGGCAATGCTTTTGCATTTTCCTGAGTAACATGTCCCTGCCTCCATCTTCTGCATGCATTAGCTTTGCATCTGAGTTCATTAAAATTAATCTATCCTGGCCTTCTGCCACAGATGCTCAAGTTACTACCCATGGAAATGGGCTGTTCATGTGCTTTGAGGAAGTTGACCCTGAAGATCACACAGTTGTCCTGAGCACCTCCTGAAAACCCAGTTAAGAATATGACCTATCTAGTAAGAGTGGATATTTCTTAAAAATAAAATTCTAACATTACAAGCTAAAAAACATACATTTGCAGTAGAACTCAGATACAAGCATGAGAGTTCTTGTAACAGCACATCAACTGCATCCAGCTCAAGTAAATATTCCTTTATTATGTTCCTCTACCTTTGTTTCTCATTTTAATATTTATGTTAATATATACTGTTTCCATTTCAGTAGAGCTTAACTGTGATGCTGAAACATGAAATACGAATTAGTTTACAGTGCTGCAAATACACAAGTGTATCTAACTTGAAACAAGGTCTGTGTGAATGAAAGTCATTTAGGGTACCATTGAGATCAGTAGGACCCAAACCAAATGCACATTTGTGGTCTAAATTAACAGCTAAAAGAATGGCACAATAGTACTGGACATCCAGGTTTTCCAAAGTGTTCTCAGTCACTGAGAAAGGTGAAACTCGGCTGTGACTTCTGAGGCATAACTGATTTCTTTATGAAAGTTCCTTGAATCAGCACCTGGAATGAATGGGATCCAGGAACATTTCTCAATGGAAATTGTAGGTGAAATACTGCAAGCCTTATCAAAAGTCGTCTGATTCTTTTTGGGCAACCACAGTTCTGTTTACTCAATGCCATTGCTTACTAAGCTGTATTTGTAGAAGCTGAAATCTCATTTAGGATGAAAAGCTAGCTCTGTACTGGAAAAGAAATGGACCCAGAGACAGCTTGGTCACTGGACTGCTTCTTGTTCATGCTGTTTCATTGCTGCTGTCTCCTGGGCATGGTTTTTGTCTATACTACCTAGAGCTCTCTGGGACCTTTCTCTCTCCTGGCGTGTTTTGGGTGCTACCACATGCCAGGAGCCATTTCCAGCAGGCAGTCTAGGTAAGACTCTACTTTTGCTTCCTATATGGCCATACAACACTATCCCAACGGGCCTTGTAGCCTCAGACACCTCAGATGCCATCACGTCATGCTACGGGACGTGTCCTCATTTTCGTACCATGAAAACGCTGTCTTAAAGGCTGTGATACAGTCCTCACTTTGAGCTAAAAAACCCACAAAAATAGTATCTTAGGGACATAGGGGTATTACGTAGGACTTGGAGGATTGCAACTAAGATGACCCCAGAATCAAAATATAAGGTCAGATGTTTAGGAAAAAAGAGCATGAGCTATGCTTGCAAATGAGAACTGTTTATCATGACCCTGATATCTTTTATTTATTTATTTATTTATTTATTTATTAGGGACACTGGTTTCCAGGAGAGTCAGATGGACGTGTACAGCGTGTAAGGTCAGTGCCTTAAACCTGTTCCCTGTGTTGGTCATTTCCACTGTTTTGCATTTAATATGCACGCTATTCTATCTATATAGACTGTTCTTTGCTTCTTGTCAAACCAAGTGTGCTGCTGAATAACTGAGTCATGGATGTGTATACAAGCTAAATCCTGTGTTCTTATCTCACTCACACACACCCAGGGTTGACTTAAGGAGGACCAGTATTATAACAGTGAAGTCAAGCATAAAGGTGTTGGAAAACTGGAGTTAGTGTTGCCTGTGCCTCATGGCTCTAGAAACTACAGCAAAGCCGTCATCAGCGCTATCCATTCTGTAGCTTGTCTGACTCGGTGCTGCTGTAATGCAAACTACAATCTGAAACAGTCCTTTCTTCCTCTTTGTTTGTTGTTTGGCTGTTGGCCTTTGCATTTAAACTCTGCTCTGAAGACGGAGGTATGAATTTTCTCATGGTCTCTCCTGCGGTGCTTATGAGCACTTCATAAAAATTCCAGTTAGGAAAGTTTCCTGCTCTGATACAATCTTGCAGCGTCTCATGGAACTTTGCCAGGAAGTTTCACAGGTACTGACAGCAGAGAGGTTAGAATCGAAGATCTGGGATTTGGCTCCATTCGGCTCCAAATGGAAGTGCGTGTACTTCACGGTTGCAGGAAGCACTCGGGTTGTTTTCATTCCCTTGTTCAGGCCCCTGCAATCTGTTCCAGTCCCTTTGCCGCTCCGGTGCTAACCATACTGTCTGTAAGCAGCACCATACTAGATGTGTTTCCAGTGTCACATCTCCTCGTTGCAGCCCCTTTTCTCTCTCGCCCAGATTAGTGCCAAAGTTCAATTTCAGCACTATTACCTTCCTAGCTGCTTTTCCCATTACTGTTTTCTCAGTCAATCAGCTTTGTATCTTAGTGCAGCCCGTTGGTGTGTTGCTTCTGTGCCTGGTCTTACCAAAGGCCGTTTCCTGGCAGCACCAGCTGACCAGCTGCTTTTTGGTCTCGTGATCATGCTGCAGTGCCTCTGTTTGCACGCTGGCTGTATGCTGGAGAATAGAGTCCTCGCTGAAAGCAGCAGAGGAGAAGCTGAGTGCTTGTTGTTTGGAACGGGTGTCTGGCTCCGCTTGTAAATTTGGCCTGGAAGGAGTGTGCTCAGTTACTGGTTGGAAGTGATGTGCATGCCATCTGGTCAGCTCCAAGTATAGTGGGAGACTTGAGTATCCAAGCTGGAGATATTAACTTATAAATTCTAAAGTCCAAATGCATACAAATCCTGTTCTGTCCTCAAGAAGTGTGGTGTCCCTCATAGAAAAACCACCTGGTGGTTAAATTTCACATCCATGGCTCAAGACATGATGTAGCTGGTGTTTTTAAAATAGAGATCAGTCAGACACGGGGAAAAAGAGTAGCTGAACTGTGTTGTGGCTAAAACTTTTGCAAAAAACATCTTGACTGAGGAAGATGCCCAGCATGGACAGTTTTGGCTTACTTTGTCAAAATTCACTGAATTTATACCAGGTAAATTTGCTTTTGGCTGGAAAATTTGCTAACATATGATACTTGCCATCATCAGCAATACCACTTAAACATGTTTGTCATGGATTTAAGCGAGAATTGTATGTTACGTGAGGAAAGCATTTGGTCCACTGACTGAATAGTTTTCTTTTGCAACATGGTAAACAAGGTGCTACAACATAGTCATTTTCTATGTGAAATGGTGGAGGTCTCTTTTCTAGTAGATGACTTGAAAATTAAGTTTTAAAGATGTTTGTATTAACTTATAATTTCTTATTTTAAGGGTCTGAAGAAAACAAGAAACATGGACGGTCATAAGTAGTAAGTACCTTGATCATTTTTTCTTGTTTTAAAAAGCTGATGGTGTTTGGCACATTGATTTGTCACTGCCTGAGTCTATCACACATTATGTTCTGGCATCTAGTATTTATATGAAGTCACTGGTAGACATTCTGTTTAAAAAGCATAAACATAGAAAGTGAAAAACTGCCAAAGAGTGGAAAAACAAGTGAATTGACTAGATAGAAAAATAACATATGTTATCAGTTTCCTGCTTAATGGAAGGAAGTGTATGAACTGTTGGTTTTCCATGAGGTTTATCCATGGTCAACAACTTCAGAATAAAGTATATCCTTCTTTTAGTTACATTTTCTGATTGTTTATTAAAACCTATGTCCATGATTGCTTGATACAAAATCCATTTTAAAAGATATTGACAAGCGTCTACCAGTAAAAATTGTCCGCAGAGTATTTCGGTAATGTGATTATAAATCTTTCATTATCTTAAGCATAAACAAGAGCCAGTAAATTCTGCAAATGAAATTAGAAGCTGAATTTGTCTATAGTGGTAAAAGGTTATATTTCTCTTATTCCTTCAATTGGTTTATCAGTCCCTAATTCAGGAATCTACATTAATCCTAGTTTTGAGGTGTTTTTTTGTGACCTCGTATTAATAACTCATTTTTATTCCTTGCACTTTGCCCCTAGAATTTCTAGTGACCACAAGTGAGGTAGATGGCAAGGCGCGTTGACATCAGATGAATTATGGTGTTTTCTTCACTTGACCACTGAACTGAGATATCAGTTATTTGCACAGCTGTAGCAGAAGTCAGAGCACACAACTACCCAGACAGCTAGGGTTTTTATGATGCCTTGTGAACAGTTTGATTTTTTTGTTATTTTTAAAGCAATGCTGTTTCCATTAAACTCTCATATTCTGTTTTCTCATAATGCAAGGGGATTTTGTTATTTATTAGAGGTTGTAGATTTTGTCTTTTAAAGGTGCAGCATCAAGTCAATCTAGACTTCACTGAACTTGATAGGTGGTGTGTTGTCAGAGTGTGTAATGGTTTGTTTGTGAGGAATTCCACATGAAATGTGGTATGTTTTGCATGTGTTGTTTATTTTGTGCTGTAGCACCAGGAAGGCCTTTATTTTAATGAAATTCATAAATGAAACTCTTGGAAATAATGCTTGGGTAGAATTAAATGGGTGAATATCTTTGCTTTTAAAGTCTGGGGAAAAAGCCAAGAAGTGCTGTGTATAAGTGCATTTTGAATCCTTGCTCACTTCCAGTTTAATTTCTTACCATCTCTTTGGTGATTAAGGCATTGTCTCTTAACTCACTGATTAAAAATAACTAAAGCAAGTAACAAACCCCTGTGAAACAAACTTCCTTTTCAGGTTAAACTGTGTCACTAGTAACTATGTAGAGCAGATGTGCCACCTTTTTGGGGAACACACGTGCTGATGGCTTGTTGTTTCAGAATGGCTGTGGTATTTCATAGCAAGCATATATATATACGCACATATATGTGTGTGTCTCAATATATGACTTGATGTGTATGTTTGGGGGCAGTATCTCAGTAATGAACCAGTTTGTTGCTCCACAGTTGGAGGGTATCTTTTTTTCAAAATAAACCCAACCTCTTTGATTTTCCTGGAGTATACAATGTAGGAGATTTTAGCAACCATTTACTTCTA